CAGCTGTAGTTTATGAGTGTTCTTCAAGGGAGTGTTTCTGATCATAAGAACATAAGAATAATCCTTATAGATCAGGCATTGATCTATACCTCTTATTGCGGTAATATTTTGTTTGTTTACATTAGCAGCCAGATGCCTCCAATGACAAGGAATGGATGGAGAACCCTAATCCTTTGCCTTCAACTGGCATTTGAAAGCATGCTATCCCCAACATGAAAGTAACATTGAGTTTTCAAGATGAATAGCCCTTGAGAGACCTATGTAATTAATGATAATGTATATAAAGAATAGGTTTTTCTATTCTAAATCTCCTTCCAATCACTTTCGTTAGAGGAATGTTAGTGTTAGTGGTCTGAAAGAGGGGAAAAAAATATCCCTGTTCAGTTTCTCCATGCACAATTTTGTATAACTCAGTCATATCATCTCTGCTCATTTGCCTTTTTTCTATGCTAAAAAGTGCCAAATATTCTAGCCTTTTCTTGTAAGGAAGGTGTTTGAGCTCTTGATGACTCTGGTTTCCTTTTTCTGCGGTTTTCTTAGCTCTTCTGTATCCAGTAGAATCTCTTTTCAAATATAGTGATTAGAATTGAACACAGTATTGGAAATATAGACATATCATAGATTTAAATATAAACACATTACAATACTGACAATTTCATTTTCAGTCTCATTCCTAATGATCCCTAACATGGTATTTGTCTTTCTCCCAGCTACTGATGAATTGACATCTTCACTGAGTATCCACTGCAACATTAAGATCTCTTTCCTGTTAGTTATAGATAGCTTAGACACCATCTGTGTATATGTGATGTTAGTTTCCCCCCCCCTTTCTTGTATATCACTTTGTACTTACTTAAATTGATCCTCATTTGTCATTTGGCTGACCATTCACCCAGCTTAAAACATTTCACAATTTTTGTTTTTTACCATGCTACATGATTTGGTATTGGCTGCAAACTTGGCCAGCTCACTTCTTATTTCTAATTTACTCCTAACTCCTAAACAAATGAAAAAGAATTAGCCCCAACATAGGTCCTTGTGTGACTTCACTTCTTAATTTCCTTCCTTTCAGAAAATTACCCATTTTTTCTATTCTTTACTTTTTTTTTTTAACTAACCAGCAGTCCATAAAAGGATAGATCCTCTTATCCCATGATTGCTATGTTTACTTAGAGTCTTTGATGAAGAACTTTGTCATAAACTCTTTGAAAGTCCAAGAGTACAGTTTCAACAGAATCACCTCTTTCCATGTGGTATTCAAGGAATAAGTTACATATTTTTGTTCAGAGGTGAACAGTTTCAGAATTCAGTTCTTTAAAGAAGGTGGTTGCCATCAAGGTCCAATGATTAATTGCTGTGTAGTTTCTCATGATGTCACAGAATATCCTTGTTATCTCAGCCTGCTTTAATTATTTTGATTCTTCCCAAAGAAAGTCAATAATGGCTTGAGTATCTATCCTATACAGTATCTTATGTAATAAAGACAAATACAAAGAGTTCATTTAATTTCTCTGCAAACAGATAAATTGTTGTCTGATTATTAACTTTATTCCTTGGATAGTTACCTGCTTAGAATATATTTAAAGCTGTACTTATTGTTTCCCTTAAAGTTTTTTATCATATGCTCCTCAAATTGTTTTTTTTTAATTTATTATTGTTACCTTACATTTTTTGTGCACTTGTTTGTGCCCCTTATCAGTTTTCTGAAGGAAATTTAACTTTTACAATTTCTTAGACAGTACTAGAGAATGATGCTGGTCTTATCTTGTAGTCAGATGACTTTTTTACAATTCAATTGAGTCTCAATTACTATGGTTTTAAATAACCTCTATGGAGAGATTTTGCCCTTTTGACTTTTACTTTCAGTTTCTTTTCACTATTCCCCTCGTTTTTTAGAATTGTCCTTTTGCAGTGAATTATTACTGTGGAACAAGATTTGAGCAATTTTATTAGTGAATTCCCCAGAATTCCCCAAAATTCCCACAGAAGCCTGTAGGCAGAATTTGATGATACTCTTCCCCCAAAAGGAGCAGATTATCCTGAATAAAGCTGTTGATGCATTGTTTACCAATGCAGTAAGAGCACAGAAGTAAGGATGTTCCTCCATATTTATTCCTGAGTTAAAGTTTGAATGTGAGTTTGTTCAGTGAAGTTTGCTACTAGTCTATTTCTACAGATGCACTAGGATATTCTTTAGTCACTTCATTTCTCAGGGCTTCTTAGCATCCCAGAAAAAACAAACAATCAGAGGCTCCTTAGGAGCAGTCTCATCAAATGCCCCAGTCATCTTCATATGCCAGAGCTCAACTAGGTGCTCAGCAAAATTGCCTACCAGATTGCTGGGGAAAGTCCCAAGTGCCTGCTGGAATCCCTTCAAATCTATAAAGTATTGTATCTTGGACAGACCTATTGAATGGGTTCTCTTGCCCTGCAGGAGTTTGTGGTGACCTTAGGTGAACTGGGGAACGATATGTCCACAATAAAAGACTAACAACCAAATCATCAATTTTCAGATCATCATGCAATTACTAGGAGGTGAAAACTAGATCTCACGTATAACCAATTTCATGTGCCAGGCCAGACATTAACTGGAACAAACCCATGGTTGCTATGCTATGAATTCATGAACTCCACTCAAACCCCACCCCAAGGACTGAACATTGAAGACCCCAGTATTATAAGTCAGTGAGTTTTCAACATCAGCCAGAAAATGATGCCCAAGAATAAATGAAGAATCTGTGTTGTCCAGCAAAGTGGGTAGTATACAAGCAGAATACCTTGTCCGTACAGCCCAGTATCACATCCTATTCAGTAAGACACAAAGATACTGGCTTGTAGGGATGGTTGAAAATGGTCTTTCAAGTTCCCTATTTGGCATATAATTTGGCTATAACAATCACATCATCACTCTTGCCAGGTGTCTTTAATAGAACCTGGAATACCTTTTGAGGCTGTTATGTTTTACAGGATTAATACAAAATACATTTTTTTATATCACAGAAAATAGTAGTTTCAAACTAGAAGTTTAAAATAAGCAATTGAAATCTATGCTTGCTTGCTTGCTTTCTGCCTGCCTGCCTGCCTGCCTGTATTCTTTTTGATGATACTGCTGCTGTTTCTTTTAATTCTGATTCACTTTTGCATTTTGAGGCTTTTTTCCCCAAAATATCTTTTTATGTACAGTATTAGCCACCTCAGGAAATCCTGCAATGAAAAAACTTAATTCTTTAGGTGGGCGTGAAGTATGAACAGTACTGTAGCTATGTATAAATCTCCTCAAAATAACCCCACATATTCTTGATTATAATCAGAGTTTTATTTATTAATATGACTTTTATCCTTTTTTTAAATAAAATGTTCAAGATGTCTTAGAGTAAGCCAAATTTGTTTGACCTTGCTCCTATTACAATACTGGTAACAACATTTTATTTCAGTCAAATTGCAATATATGCAAGTATGTTACCTACTTCTTTTTAAGTGCTTAATGAGACATATTTTGAATTCCCTTAACACTGGTGTCTTTCTTCTTAGCTGAATTCCTAAATTATCCTGGCATAACTGCTTATTTCAAATGCTTATTGGAATCTTAACACAATAGGAAGAGAGTTTTACTACTGGCCTGTGTATGGTATTTGCCAAATGTCTTCTCCCCTTTCAGTGACTAATGCCACGCTGCTGTGATCTGTTTGTATATTTCTTTTGTTTTCTTTATCAGTTTGAAAAGGAAAGGCTGGAAATAAATAAAATGCATGTAAAGCTGAAAATAAATGCTTGAAATTTTAGTTTTGTGATACATAAAACTTTTAATATTGTGGTGCTGAGCCAATGACTAAACAGATGTCTGTAGGAAGTTCAAAAGTAGTACATGAACACAGTGGCCAAACAGTGTCTCCTGTTTATATTTTATGGATTTGGCCAACATATTGCCTTCATTATTTGATGTAACATTTAGCCATTGTGACTACTGATTGTTGATAAGTAGCTTAAAATGGATGAAGCTTAAAATTCCTTCCAATTTTGTTTTTGTATGAAACTTAGTTTGAGATTAATCTTAACATTTTTTTTAAAATAAGCCAGGTACAACCCATGATTTGAAGGTAATTTGTTTGAAGCAATATACCATTTTATAGTATGAAAACTCTCTGTTTTCTTGCTATAGATGTTTTCTTGGCACAATTTCTTCTAACATCATAATTGGATAAGTCTTAGAAAGCAGCCATCACCCATTTATCATTTGGTAATGGGCATACTTGAGCATGAAACTGAGCAAACTCAGGGAGGCAGTGAAGGACAGGAAGGCCTGGTGCA